AAAAATACAGGACGGGGTTTCGGAAGCCTTTCGAAACGTCGTCCTCTACACTTGTGTCTCTACAACAGGCAGTTGCCGTCCATTCTACAAAGTTTCGTCAATAAACGTTTAAGTTAGACTAAGTTGTTTCCGAATATTGTCAATACCTTCATGAAAAGTACTGAAACTATCTCCTAGAGAAAACTAATACAAAACTTGATTCACACTTGTAACCGCTACATTGATGACATTTGCTTTATTTGGTGGTGTTGAATCATTTCAACAAAATCCCAGATACCCTAGTTCGTGCTAACGTTAACCATGCTCCTCTACAGGATGGTTATCATCTTTCTAATAAAGCATGTTGCCTGAACTGCAAATTCATGAAAACTGTAGCCACTTCCTCTGATAGATATATCAAAACTACTTAAAACTTAACAAGGGGATTATTTTTACAACACTACTTATCTCATACCTAGCAAATATGTAACCATGAGTATGTTGGAGAAACCCAAGTTAGTATTAACAACTATAAGTCAACACCAAAAGGAAAACAAAAATCTTCTTGTTGTCCAGCATTTCAATCAACCTGACAATTCTACCAATGACACGAACCTCTTAATTATAGAATCTGGGTTTAGTTGTTGTTGTTTGAAATTAAGCACAAAGCTAGACAACGCTCTGGCCACCACTGGTATCGAACCCGGTTTCTAGCGTTGTAAGTCCGCAGACATACCGTTGTGCCACTGGGAGTTCTGGGTTTAGAGTTAGACAGGTATAGAAATATAAAAAAAAAGCTTATTGGAATGATATATTTGGAATAATGTTCAGCTCTCTGAGAAATCAATGCTTATTCCGGAACTAATGATCTTTGACCTTTAATTATTGCTCTGTCAGATGTGTTTTATTTTACCTTATTTAACTTACTTCTGCATGAGAGACGTGTGTTTTCATTAATCAATTTTATTAATTATTATTTTAATTTTACTTTTTTAAATCTGTTATTAATATTATTATTTATTTTTATTTTGTTTTAATTAATAATAAATATTTAGTCTTTATTCGCATTATTAGTTTGCCTTGTATCCTATTATATTTCATTATTACTTTATAAATTTTCTTTTTAAATTCGTTTATCTAACAGTCCTCCATTAACTGTTATATTCCTCCTCTTTCCCTCTAATCTTGTTTTTTTTTGTACACCAGCAATCAGTCACGCCTTTACTAAACCTAACTTTATTGTGTTGTCATGGGGAGATGCTAGAAATATATACGATTCGCTGACTTCCACACTTCATACTTCCTTCTATTTTCAATCCATCCCTGGAGAAGGAGGACTGCCTTTCAAAAACACTCACTTACTGGGTCTCTTATTGTGATTCACCAGTTCTTTTTTATATTCCATTTGATTCCTTGTATTATCATACGAGGTTGTTTTCAAACATTCACTCAGTTAAACTGATAAACATCACATCCAATAAACTTACATAAAGAAAGAAGAATGCGCTGAGAATGACTTGAATTATGTTGTACAAGATTATTACCCTCTCGATTGAAAAGGGTTTCTTGTTTTTCATCCAGGCAGGCCCAAATACTTTGACGAAATACACGTACGAAGCAATAATTGATATCATTGGAAAAGGCGATCCTATAAGAGGCCAACTACTTGTGCGTGGATCTGTTTGAATAAGAAAAAATACAAAAAATAAGAAGATAAGAAGACTAAACATAATATTACATTTAAATTCTATTTTTTGTATCACACGAGTAACAGATATTAATTACAATAATGTGACATACCAATAATGTTATGAACGTGCATATGTGTTTTTATTTCTGCAACCTCTCACTGTAGCCCCCAGTGGCACAGCGGTATGTCTGCGGACTTACAACGCTAGAAACCGGGTTTTGATACCCGTGGCAGGCAGATCACAGATAGCCCATTGTGTAGCTCTGTGCTTAACTACAAATAAACAAACCTCTCACTGTACGAATTAAAAACAGTGTCAAAAACTTTAACGCAAATACAAGTTCTTTGCACCATAGACAAACATGCAAAACTGGCGTCTAGCAAAGACAGTAAGAAGATACTTAGCATGATAGAGATTACGTCAATAAAATAACTTACTTTACTACATGAAACAATGGCTTATAGAAAAGTTTCCTTTTAATAAACAATTTATACATTTATACTTTTAACTTTTGATTTCAGGAATTTATCGAGTTGTTTATCTAATGATTCCAGCTTATAAGTTCTGTTTTCCCAAATGTTGAAATGATAGACTAGATGGAAGGCAGCTAAATCAACATCATCCACCATTAGCTTTTGGGCTAGTCTTGTCAAACCGAATAGTGGGATTTGAACGTTACTTTTATAACGCACCCTCGGCCCCAAAGTGCGAAGCCTGATTTATTGTTTGTTTTGCGGTAACGGGGCACGAGCCACAAAATGCCGGATGCACAATCCGGCATTCAGCCGTTCTCGGCCTTTTTTTCATAAAAGCAGATTATTTGTCAAATGGAAAATCAATATATTCTTTCAAATGGTTCCAAATTTTAGGATCCTTCATAATCTTGTATACATATCAATGGAATAACTAACGTGTTTAAATTACTTTCGCTCAACAATCACTGACATGTTGATATGCTTAAGTAAAGCACCAACGTCGTTATACGTAAGGAGGTATGTTCTGACAATAAATCTGGGACGACGAACTTCTCTAACATAACCAGGAAGTGTTAACGTAATAATAACCTGTACATCAGCCCATTTAACTATACGGTAAATGCGTTTAACGCTACTGTTAGTCTCAGTGATAAACCAAATTAGAACCACGCAGAAAACAGAACAATGTTCCATTCTCTGGTTTGTATTATCTTCTATTACAACGATTCCATATCTGAGTTATTTTTAATACACTCTTTCTTTTCTAGCAAAAGACGAAATGAAATCACATAAAACGAAAATGTGTTGTTCAATTAGCACAAAGGTCCACAAATATTTAATCACTATGAACAAGGGACTTTCTGCAGCTAAACATGATAAACGTTGTTTACAACATTAAACTGTAGGTGTAGACATAAAAAAGAAACAGAGAAATTAAGAAAGCTGTCAGGATAGCTACTCCGAAAACTGTAATGCTGAATGGCGTCAGTCATGATCCTGGGATTGGTGACCTTGATACATTTCTATAAAAGTTCCAACAATAACTCGTTTCATGTCCATATTCCCCATTTAAACTACAGTTGGTCACCTTCCATTTATTTTATTATTAATATTATTATTAACATTTTGTAAACTTGAAGGATCTTTCCATTTTTCCATGTTTTCGTTGTATTATATTGGGTCAACGATAAATTTACGGATTTGGAAAGCTAAATTTCGGGATTCGATTCCACGTAGTGGACAGATCGCATATAGCCTATTGTGTGGTTTTGCGCGAAAACAACCAAACAAAACCTATTGCTTTATTGTTTTTTCGCCCCAATAAGCAACTAATTTAAAAAAAACTTAAAATAAAATTTTAGTTTGAATTTATTATTATTAACAGTAATCTTCTTTTTCCCTTCAGCAGTGGTCGCCGAAAAGAATCACACGTGTTACCCTCATCTCTGTTCATTTTGCAATTTCTTTCATTTTTTGAAATGAAATGAAAACATTTCTTCATCTTTTTTATTCTTGTTTTTCTTCTCTTCATTTCACATGACCGAATCACCTCAGCCTCGCTTTTCTTGCCTTTTTCTCTTTTCCACAGTCATCTGCCATTTCCTTAATATCCTAATTTGTTGTCTTCTCCTTCAGCGACACTCTCAACAATTATTAACAGTAATAATTTATTAGTAGTAGTAATAAGTAATTATTTTCACCGTCATCATATTATTCAATAGTTTGTTTCCAAATAAGCCATCTCGACATTTCCTTTGCCTACCATAAGCCCTCTCGACATTTCCTTTGCCTACCAACACAACTCTCTTCAGTCGAAGGTAGTTTCACGGCCACCTCGACAAACAGTTCCTTCTCACGTGATGCGTACATATTTTTCACCTTTATTATCCTACATTCTTTAAACATTATTATTTTTACTCCTGGAGAAAATAAAAGTCAACTATCCGAAAGAGCTCGAGTTTCTGAGTCATTTGAAACCAACGTGTTATTATTATTATTTTAAAGTATTATTTGACTAACTGTAGAGACGCATCTACTGATTGCTGCATATAACCTGTATGTTTGAAATATTAAAATCACACAGTCCATACACTGTGTATAACCACGATACATTGAGTTGAAACAAGCTAACATGTTCGAATGATCTGTTACTGAACTTAATAGATTATGTTCCGAGTTTAATTAACGTTCCACGTCTGAGAACAAGTCTAGCAAGCAAAATGAATTTGTTTGAATTTCGAGCAAAGCTACACGAGAGTTATCTGCGCTAGCCGTCCCTAATTTAGCAGTGAAGGCCCCACCAGGTACTCTTTTACCAACGAATAGTGGGATTGGTCGTAACATTAAACGCCCCTACGCCTGAAAGATTGAGCATGTTTGGTGGGACGGGGATTCAAACACGCGACTCTCTGATTGCGCGTCAAGCTCTCTAACAACTTGGCCATAAAGTCGAGGTATATGAATATAATATTAGTTTTAACATACGCTATTTTCAACTAAGTAGCGAAGCTGTTTAAACTTTATGAACATAGTAAAATATAAAAACTCTAGAAAGATTTTTAAATTATGTAAAACATTTGCCGTCAAGAGTCAGACCGTGACATGGAGCTTCATCTTATTAAAGTAATATTGCTCTAATTTTTATAATAAGATTGATTTAATGTTCGGAAACAAATTAACTTTCCGTTTTTTGTATTGTAAAACAAATAAATATCTAGTTTCCTATATCAGTTGTAATTTCGAAGTAGCCCACCTGAAAATGTTTTATTATGTTTGATATATATTTATGTTTTAGCAAAAGTCAGTCGAGCTTACAATAATTTCATCCATTTGCTTTCTTTGTATTTTACCAGTGGATTTATAAACTACATTAGAATGGTATAGCAATCTACATTAGTCTGCTCGGGCCTAGTATTAATAGACCTGTAGCAAGAGACCAGGGATTTCAGTAATTAGCAGTCCTAAGAAACCAGGACAGGACTAGCAAGCCACTGTGAGATTTAATACTTGCTCTAGAAACTTAAGTAGAATCTAAGCATGAGTGTTAACCAAGAAAAGAAAGAATAAAATACAAGCAGCAGAGATGACAGTTTTGAGACTCATATATGGAGCTACTTATTTGGATAGAATAAGAAACAAGGATACAAGGAGGAGTCTTGGAGGGGATTCAGTGCTGGAATTTATAGAAAGGAGCCTGTTGAGATTGTATGGGCATGTCAAGCAGATGGGTGAAGAAGGTCCATAGAAAGACCAAGGATGAAATGGAGACAAAGTATTGAACAATCAGCTGGAAATAGAGGACCAACCCTGGAGGATGCAGAGAAAAAGAATTATACCTGAATAGGAGTGTGTGTGACGAAGTTTTGTGGGGTGATGCAGCTGAAAGGCTTTTAGCTTAACAGAAGAAAGAATAAGAAGTAGCATTACGATATTTCTTCAACACACCTCGAAATGAACAGTATATTAACCCAAGTGGTCCTACCAACCGGTAGGAGGCTATTCTAGATCTTGACGTAAGGCGATACCAGCATCATTGCGCATGCCTGCCAATTTTGGCGCCCAAAACGATACTTTCACCAGGAAAAGGAATAATAATGTAAGTTTGTTTTAGCGCAAAGCTACACGATGGACTATCTGTGCTCTGTCCACCACGAGAAATCGAACCCTGGATTTTTGCGATGAAAATACGAAATAACTAAGAAATAAATATTTATATATATATATATATTTATATTCGTTAATATTTTCATTCGAAAGATAGGTTAATGAATTTAGTCTACAAGCAACTACAATGGCGATAACCACAGTCACGGTCTGATTAGAATCCGCATCAATTTTTTAGATAAGTTATTTTTATTACAGATTTCTAACGCCTAAACTCAAGCTCAGTGGCAAGTACGTGAAATTGAAAGAAATATTCATGCACTGTTTTGTGTTATATTAAGATTGGTTTTATTTGTAATCGTTTAAAACTGGTAAAAACTTATTTTCAAAAATAAGCAATTCTTTGGGTACATTCATGCACTCAACTAGAAAGAAACAGAAAACGTTCCTGGTATTAGAATGACTCTCGGAATACTTAATTAATAAAGGTTGTTCTTTATATCTTCATGTATATTAGCTTTAATTGTATCAGTTCTTATTCAGAAAAGCGGCGTAGTATGTCACGGGAACATGTTTTGAATACAATAAACGGCAAATGACCCCAAATTCTGCGTTTTATGTGAATGACTGGTAGACATTCATACATTTATATATGTTTTCTATTCACTTTTAGAACCTTATTAATAATATAGACAACAATATAACGATGTCATTTCGTGATTAGATGAGTAACAAAGGATAATAACAATGATGTGTAGGTAAAAAAAAATTAAATTGTGTAGTACGAGATTACAGCAGTGAAAATGAATAGGACTAGACCCACTCTTTATTGGCGAATTCGGTACTTTGTGACTGTGTAGACTAATATGAAATATTAAATATCTAAATTACAAACATAGAGAGAGAGA